CGCAAGCCTCTGTTCCTTGCTACGAGGGTGGGATTGTAAATGGTGCAAATTCCAATGTGACGTGTAGTAAAGTGACTATATAGTAAAAAGGAGTAAGTTTGTAATGACAGAATCGCTGTGCGTTAGATTCCACGTCAGTCAAACCGGCAGGGTAGGAGAGAATGTTTATCAAAGTTTCAGTTTTGACTTGTAATCCCCCCCACCACCAACATGCCAATCACTATAACTGGCAGCGGAAATGTTTGAAAACTGTGTTAGGATGTGGTATTTAAGATGTGGGGTTTTCATTTCAAATCCAGGCTGTGGCACCTGAGATAATACACTTGACGAAGGAGTAAACAGACTCACAAACAGGCAGATCCATTACTGCCCACTCGTACATCACAGTACTAATACTATAAAGTGTAGACGACAAACTTCATAATAGTTTAAAGTTGGTACATAAGACATTAATGTACTTTTTTAAATTACAGGCTGGAACCGCTGGCAGACAGATTGGCAGCTAGACTGGCGGATCCCAATAAGAGCATTTAAAAATGTAGTGAAGGGTTTGGAGTTTGTCATTTCTTCCTCAGCTGGATCCGTTTTCTCCTGTCTGTCTTCCTTGTCATATTATTCTGCAGTTGACACTTTAGGCTATGTTTGTTTGGCCAGGAGTCATTTGGTAAAGATTGCGTCTCAATGGGATGGCTCAATAAAGGACTTTTGCACATAATTAAGGTAAAATCTTTTACTAATAATTGTGTGACTTTTCCAGTGTAAACAAACTATATGCTTAGACCCAGTCCACAGTATGTAGTTTTGAACTGGGGCACATCTGAAGTCTGAAAGAAAATGAATTGAGTGAATAAATCTGTTTGACCGCTGTCCATGGTGCTGATTCTGGAGCTGTCTGGAAAGTAACTGGTAACTAAGTGAACAACACATAGATCATAATTATAACCTAATAATATGATAATATAATATACATCATTCTGAAAAGGGGACATTCTGCATGATGAATACTTTACTTTTCTTACTTTAAGTATACTTTTATGCTGATACTTTTGTACTTTAGTAATATTTTGAGTATTCTACAATATTTTTACTGAGTACAGTATTTCTACATTGTGGTAGTACTAATTTACCTCTAAGTACAAGATCTGAGTACTTCTTCCATCATTAGGCGGGATGGCCAATAAGTTATCTTATGTTATCAGCATATTGCCTCACCTGTTATCACTATATATATCTTATTGATGCAGATCCTGGTTGCTGAGACTTGGTGACGCCACAACAAGCGGACTTAGTTCCTGTCAGTGCTTTCGTGTTTAGCATTGTGTTTAAGCACCTCTTTGGTAGTCAAGTGGTTATAGGCCATGCCTTGTAACTGCAGCATTCTTCTTGTGGCATTTAATTACTCTCTCTGTCCCGTATCTACTCTGTCAAAGAAAAAAGCAAAAACACCAAAATAAATCTTAAAAAAAAAGAATGTTTTTTATTTAGTATACGTTTGGTTGCCTAATATCTGCTGCAAGTTTAGTTATTTATTCATGCTTACTCCAAAAGAAGCCCCTTGTTTGTGTCTTTGTTTGTACTTTTCTGCACTCGGGTGCTATTTAGCAACGTTGCAGTTCCAGTATCTCTCACTGGTTTCACATCCCAAAAGCAAACATCTGACGTCATTATTAGCCTTTATCGCACTACTGCAAACAAAGATGCACTGTGTAGAAGTTTCACCTGTGAATCATAACTTTAGAGAGAAAAGCTTTTTTATTCTTGCCAACAACTTCACTTTCCAAGATAAGTGTGTCTTTTCCACCCTAAGAACCTTACGTATTAACCTGCCAAAAGCTCTGACGGATCGTTGCCTCAGCGACTCTCCATCTCATCTTTTTGTTTGTTTAGACTATTTTGCCTTTATTGGATGTTGAGAGTGTAAATACAGTCGTGGGCGAGAGAGGGGGTGAGAGAGGGCAACAACATGGAAAAAACTGGAACTGAAGTGGGGACACTGCGGTTATATGCACCGACCTCTTTTCAAATCAAGAGTTACATATGTAACTAGAATTCTGTGAATTGACAGAAATGGTGTGCAGGATTACCACTTTCTCTGGCAGTCAGACACTGCTGAGAGGTGACTTCTCTTTTTATCTGTCTTGATATTGGTGCATTACCCAATTTTTTTGGTCTGTGGGACTGAAAGGACATAACTTGATATTATCTGCGAAAAGGAAAAGTATTGAAATAGCAAAGAATGCTATAAACCTTGACCAGAATAAGTTAATAGTATAATTAAGTGACTCACTAACTCACAAATTCATTTCAAGTTACTAAAAAAAGCAAAACAGGTGTTGCATCGACATGTAGGTTTTAAAAGAATCTGATGTGCTGAAAGTGAAGAATAGCAAGATCAGAAGAGTCCATGTAACCACACGATCTCAGGACAGAGTTCCTGCCCTTTGATTACTCACTACACTCAGTCCGCGTCGATGATCCAACTTTCATTAAAGGTCACTATTCTATAACCACATGTCTCAGAAAGGCATAAATACACTCCTGCTGCTGCAGTGAACGAGTTATATTAAATTGACCCAGAGGACAGTGAGTCCTTGCTGCGCTAATAACAGCTCAGTGAAACAAAACTGGAAAGCAAAGCCTCAGTGAGACAGAAATGAATAAACATGTCTATAAGTCAGTAAATTTGGTTTATGTGCTAAGGACGAAAGGGGTATTTATGGGACATCACATCAAAAGCAATAGTGTTACTGAATACACCCTCAGATGAAAGGTCAGAGAGGATATGTGGTAGCAGTGGACCCATTGCTCTGACGCAAAAATTCCACTTTAAATTCCAATATGCAAAAATTCCACTTTAAAGCCTCGTAATGATGGATGCCATTTTCAGTTGTCAGCAGAAAGCCATTTCAACGAGCAACAGGTTGCATCTTTAATGCACCGGCTATTAATGTAGTGTAGGGTGTGGCGCGGCGGGAAGCCAGTAATAATCAATTTCCTGCTGCTGTAATCATAGCTCTCTGTAAGTTAATTAGCATCTGTTGAGTGTTGCGGGGAGACGTCTGCAGAGCGGGACCGGTGGTTAAAAGCAGTGTGGCGAGCGTGACACAGTCTCATGTCAGGGCTATTAGATTAAGGCTAACATGAGTCATTGGGCGATGGAACTAATGGTGCATCTGATACATGCGATCCAATCAGCGGCGCAGATGGACTTTGTCTCATCTATTTTAGTGATCTGTAGTGAGCTGGAGTATATTAAAAACACCAGAGGAAGAGGAAAATTTCCACATGAAGGGGCACAAAGCGACGACTAATTTGTTGCTGACTGCAGGAGTTCCAATGCAGACAGCCGATCACATAGTTGGGAGTCAAACAGTCTAAAGGGCATCAAAAAGGGGAGACACGCAAAGTGATTATCGATTGGCTGGTTAAACCACGAAATTACATCGGCAGTTGCTTTTAATGGAGAAAGAAGGAAGCCCATAAATCTATTGGAGCTATTTTTTCTTTGGTTTGCTGACTTTTATTCGATGTCTAGGATAGGATTGGGTGTTATGTTCCTTGATCAGGGTTTTTCTTCCATAACAAAATGATTAATTACGACAAATACTTCATTACTAATGTTATTGTTTATTAAAGCAACGTGTCAATGGCTTTGGAAGTCCTCCATAGTGGAGCTTGTATCAATGCTACTTTCACTTTTTTAACCTCCCAACCAAACTGTAACACCAGAGAGAAAAAGAAAAGAGGTTCAGTTACAAAAGGCATTTTTCATGACATGTGGCATGTGACATTTTAATATGCGCCTGTAGGCAAAGCACAGGTGCAGTTAATGAAGCATAGCGTTGGTTCAGGCTGATGATGTGCTTGTGTTGGCTGATTGGCAACAGCCATTCGCAGTATCCAATCATATTGATGCAGGTGTACAGCACAGGTATCGGAACGTGACACTTATTGCTGTTTACTTTGATGACCGTGCCGACGAAGTTTGCTGCTGCACCCTCCCAACCTCCACCTTATGTGGTATTCGTGTTATCGATGAGACTTAATGGTCATGTGTGTTTTTATTACGGGGGATTAGCGGACTATAAATTGTCTATTCTAAGGTAAGTGTCTCTGACTGAAATAACATTATAAACAACTACGTGTTCCTGCATTCAGGCCTCGGTGTTGTGCATGCTGGTTCACTGGAATGGGACCCCTAATAGAATGAATCCATCAATAATGCTAATAGTTACACCTGTGCTATCCCTGTTAGGATTTTTCATGATGTTCCCGTTATGTCAAAATGTCCGCCCTGAAAACAGTCCATGTATTCTGTTGTAGCAGAGTTAATGAGTCCAACTGACATTACTTGTCATTATCACTGTTTATTTCATGTATTTTTAGTCGCAGCTGTATTTCACTCAAATGATGTTGACTATTTTATTTTTTGTTAATCTTGTTTATGATGTATCATGTTAGTTTCCCACTGGGACTGGTCTGTTGAGTGTAGTATGAGGAGCCTCTCTGCCGGTTTCCAGTGTTGATGTCGAGATAAGAGAAGCTAAGCGGCTGCCAATGGCGTGTGTTTGCCGGACAGATATGTGACTGTGGTATCAATCTTCTCATCTTAAACAAATCAGCGTATTACCCAAAATGACAAACTATTTATTTAACTAACTTAAATATGTATTATATATCTTCACAGCACATCATCAAAATAAAGCCAAGAGTCAAGCATTTATTCAGCGTTCTCTTCAGTCTAATCTTACTTCAATCAAAATAAATGCTCAGAGATCAATTCTAGTTTATATGACGGTGTATTAATAAGGTCATTGTAGGGAAATCAATGAACTGGTCACTACAGGTGAGACAGTGATGCCTGTCATGGGAATAGGTTGTACTTCAATAAGTGAATTAAATTAGAGTAAAACAAAACTGTTTCTAAGGACCCGCTGAGGATCCATTTTTCATCACTTCAACATTTATTACCCACATGTGGGGAAGGTCATTGAACTCACCGTCTACACATGCTGGCCTCGCCCTGGTGGTCCCGGCGATCTGGCCTCTCCGGCAGGCACAGCGGGCCGTCTGCCTTGCGATGGTCCGTCTGGGGACGCTGCTGTCTCTGTTGAGCATCACTATCTCGCAGGTTCCCACCGCCAACTGGCCTGCCGAACACAGCAGCGAGGAACAAAGTACATAACATAACATTAGCATAATGAGAGTGCAATGAACATATTGCAAAGGAGAAGCTGGTCCACAAAAGGTACGACAACAGGCAGCCTGGGGAGAGGGCCATCTCTGCGGTCTGCATAGAACGGAACAGTTTGATGCTCTCATTTAACAATCTCAAATGGAAAAATGACAAAGTGATTTCAAAGCTTTACAAGCAGCAGGCTAGAGGGCTTCTTCAGTTTGTATGTGGCGGGCTGCTCTGTTGATAGAAGTATCTCATAGTTATCCTGTGGAAAACAAATCCTTTTAAGAATCTGATAAAAGGATATTTTCTATTTCGTTAGCCATAACTGCAAGTTAACAAGCCTACCAGTCTAAAGCTCCATGAAAGTGGTAAAAGGAACTCGTTGATGAAACATGGACCGGTGGCGGAAATTATGTGTGACTGACTCGGTTGACATGGCAGCGGCTGCTGGGCCCTGTGGTCCTACAACGGACCAATTTTCAAGTCAAGTTAAGCTCTACTGAAACGGCAAATGGACAAAATGTCTTAAAGTCATGATTACCTTTGCTCAGAAACCACCGTGGAGTGAGTGAGTGTGCTATTCTTACACTTCAATCCAAGCACAGAGAAATCACCGCAGAGTTCTCCCGGCATTAGAAATTGATGGATGACTCCATGGCCGAGGACCTGTGGCTACGTAGGTTTTCTTTTGGAGTTTCAGGTTTATCAGAATTTGATCTCTAAATGAATTAGGATACACAAACTGGAGAAACGAGTCTCAAGTCAAACAAGTCAAGAGTGTGTTTTCGCTACAAATGTACTATTTGGGAGGGGAGGGGGTAATTAAAAATACATGTTCTTTATCTTGATTGTTGTATGTCAAGGAAGTTAAAAGAGTTGATAAAAACACGTTTTTTAAACTTTTTACTCAACTCTTTACTCGGCAGGGAATGATCGTGATGAAGTGAACACGCTTCCAATTTCAATAAACATTGAGTGACTTTGTAATGCCAAGAGATGAACTGCCACTCGGTATTTCAACACACAGCAGCACACCTGTCTCCAATTATTGACAAGGTGAGGAGTTGAGCTATGCGCCCAGAATTGCAGCTGTAGCTCATGCGTGGCTCCGATGATTGTTTGTAATGAGTCACACTGAAAACTTTCCAACAGCCACGGGCAAACAAAAGAAGAGCTGAAACAATGATGCTTTCAATGGAGAGATGTATTAAAATGAACCCTCTGCATGGCCTATTGTAGTCTCAGTGAACACTTAATGATGAGGCAGCAGTTTTGTTTGGGTAAAGTATTTGGAAACCCGAGGGAACATATTTAATTGTCTTTTATTGAGGCCTTCCTGGTGTGTTTGGGGGAATTATTATACGTTAATAGTCTTGTGTTAAACAAGATAAACAAGCATTAATCACAGTAAATTGCTCGAGAGTGTCTGCTGCTTTCAAAAACACATTTGGAAGAACAAATTCAATATATGTAGATGACACATTTTAGGTAGCACCTTTGCCATTTAAAATCAGAGGAAGGTTTATTGCAGCCTCAAATGATATTAAATGATATTAAAAAAACAAGTCAATAACCTGCTGAAAAATATTAACGTGAGAGTGCATCGACTCACAGCACATTTCTTAAAAAAGTGCTTATCTGCTCTGGGTCGAACGGTAAATCTTAGAAAAAGTTAGGGAAACTTGCTTCACCTTTGTCATGATCTGGAAAAATGTAAAATATGTTGTTCCTTCTCTTCTTCATTGAATAGACAGCTGCCAGTGAAAGGCATTCAGGCAGATACTGAAATAAAATCAGCTCAGCGAGGGTAGATTAGAGAAGAGTCTTGCTGCAGTTCTTGTAAGGTCAATCCCTGGCATTCACCAACCATCACTCCTTTACACTGCTGCTTCTAGTCGCTCCCCAACACCCTCAGAGGCTCATTAAGTGAGACGCTAACTGCTGCATAGAATGAAATGACTGAAACAATGGCAAAGGTTGAAGGGGTTGTTGATCAACACAAATGACTCATAAAATTGCCTCAGCGGGCACTGAGAGGTTTCAGAAGCTGCTAGTTTCAGAGCAAGACATCTTGGAAATATTCCAAATGATGAATGCGGTTATGTTTGATTATGGTGTCCCTGTGACCTTTCATTTAGCAACATCATAAGGTCAAACTGTCCCCTGGCCGCGGAGAGAATGGAGAGAATGGAGAGAATGGAGAGAATGGAGAGAATGGAGAGAATGGATCTCGCTCATTTTTGTAATCCCGTGACCTTTCCTTTAGTGTCAACATTGGGCAACACTTTAGCCCATAACAAAACTGAGTTAGCCTTAACTTCATGATCCCCAGAGGAGGGATCCTAATGTTGTTGGCGAACCCGTTGACCTTTCTCCAAGCACCGCAATCGGGTCAAATTTTCCATCTGCACACAAGAGCTCGATCGAATCAAGAGATCATACTGCCGTGAAATGACACCTTCATGTTCTTCAGAGGATGAACCGTTTTCATTTTTCAGCACTCCACAAGCTTTCCTCCAGCTCCACCGCCTCAACATTACAACCTCTATTGGGCTTGCTAGCCAGGTTTAAGACGTTTGTCCAAATGGTTTTCACTGTCAGTAACTCCTCAACCCCCAGCTAACAGGACGAATCTGCATCTCACTTAATGGATTGGTGGAAGGGTTGTTGGTCTCAGTGACAGCTACTTTTTGTGATTTAGGCTGATAAGATTAGTGTGTTTCTTCATGAAATTATTACCGAGACCAGTCTTGGGAGTCATAAAACGCAATCACCTCTACGAAGAATTGCTATGCACGTTTCATTTCATAGCATCAGCCACGCTGCCCTCCCCTCCCCCACCACCCACCACTCAGCACCACCCTCCACTCTCTTTTCCGCCGAGGCGAGTCCCTGTATGCTCAGTGGGTGCTTGGGGGACAGAGGTGCCATCAGATATTTTAACGTTGAACAGATGAATGGGCTTCATGCAAAAAAGCCTGAAGGAGGTGAATAGTAAGAAGGAAGGGTGGAAAGGTAGGGGGGTGGGGGGCTTTGTAATGGGCCCCTCAGCCACGGCCAACACTCCATCATATGTACACGAGTTAATTCATGTGACAGGGGGTTTCTGTCTCTCAGTGGCGTGAAGACGCTTGGCCTCGTCTCTATTTCACATGATGAAATGCACATACGGCGGCGAGGAGCTTGTCGGGTGAAGGATCGGCACCGCGTTGGCGTCCAGGCTCCGGATCCTGTCACACATCTAGAGGGCTACAGGAAGCCGACACGGAGCACAGAGGCCGTCTCTCAGCGCTGACCGGCAGCCTGATGACCTCATCACTGAATCACAACAACATACAAGTGCAGAGCGGCAGCGCGAACGCACAGGGGTTAAAACACACACACACACACACACACACAGAAACACACACACACACACACACAGCTCAGAGCAAAGACGGGAGTCTGTGCTCTACATATCGGCGCTTTGATCAGACACAAACCAGGAGCACAAATATCTCAGTATCTCTGCCTGAAATAGGCTGCCAGGAGTCCATGCTCGCTTTCACAATGTTCCCCTGTTTCAATGTGCGTCATTGTTGGGCTGAGAACTGGTGGGCATGACGAGGTTATTAAACTCTGGATGCATTACACTGGCTGGCTAGTATAAAACTACTAATTATCTTTCCTGTCAACATCGCAGACCGTTGCTTATTTAGACGTATCAATAAAACATTCACTCTGTTCTGGCTTATCTTCTTTTTTTTCTTGTTTGTGTCTTTAATTAAGACTGTGCAGATACATCAGTAGTTAGTCCTGATTGATAAAATACTTTTATCAGATTAAACAGACCAACACATCAGACACAGCACCCGCATATTCAACTGAATCCAGATTTGGAGCAGTGAGAAAGGCTCTGCTTCTCCTCAGGGAATTTGCCATAAAATTATATGACAGGCTGCAATGAACGAACTATGACAAGGATTCCATTTCCATATTAAAACAATCTCCCTTTATAGATTGTAATTACTCGCGGGCTGCTTAAGATGGAAGTGAGGTTTTACAATGTTTTATTGGGCGCCTCTGCAAACTACAGATTCAAACCATATTTATTACAAATCCCACTCCATGTAAAGCAAGTTCAGTTAATTATTCATGACAATATGTATTGTATTTGGAATTATTCCCCGTAAAGACACAGCTATAGTGTGGAGCCATTCAGTGCGGGCTTGGCTTAAACGTCCTGGCATTGAAACAAACCCGTTTTCTTCCCTGAGAGAGTCAATCAGAATCTAAACACTGGCATACAATAATAAGTCTGAGTGATTATAACCATTCCACTCTATGCTCCTTTCGTGAGAGAAGTGCCGATCTCAAGGATGAAAATGGGACTTAGAGAGCATGACAGTCATATCAACGTGCATCAAATCAGATGTGAATTCAGCTGATCTTTTATGGAAGATTTAAAGAATTGTGTGAGACGTTATACATATTAACGGCGCAGGTAATCAGTTCAAATTGATTTTGTGGTGGCTGCTGTTTTCACATTTTGAAATGTAATGAGAACTGACTCAACCGCCATACCACCAAAAATCATAAGTCCATACAGCTACCTCATACTGCTCAGATTTAGGCTTTTCCTCTTGAAAGTCTTATATTCATAGATGCAAATCATTTTTCATCATTTTGTTATGGATGAATTGGATGAATTGACCAACTCAAATGGACTGCTTTTCTAGCGCTTTCCGACCTGAGCAGAACAAAGCGCGTTACAAAGCCTCTTCTTCAGAGACACTCGCATAACGATGGTGGTGATGAGGCCATACAAGGGGCAATTCGGAATTCAGTGTCTTGCTCAAAGACACTTCCAGATGTGGACAGGAGGAGTTGAAATGAGACAAAAAAAAAACGTAACGATTAATCGATGACCCTCCGCCTGTGTGTGGTTAAGGGGGGAGAGCAGCAAGTCCTCACATTTGACAAGCTGAA